TTAAATTACATAGATGAACTCTACATGCAGGAGACTTAGTAACTACTTAAACTATGGAAGAATTAATTAGTAACTTGAATTTTTAATATGTTGAAGAAGAAAATGTGTTGCTCTTAGCTTAAGAGTTAACAGGATTAAAATTTAGGAAGAAAGCACCAAATGGAACATTCCCTGCTAATTCAGTCCCTGGAACAGCAGAAGCTCATGGCATTAACCTTTGGGTTATTAATATGTTGATGGAGGGAAGGATTAAGGAAAGGGCAGGTTGTGGGACACAAATGGCACAAAGGCAAATAATCTTGTATTGACTCCAGTTCTAAAAAACAGATTCAAAGCAGAAAGTTTCTGAGGTCAAATGAAGTCACTTCCCAGCTGAGATTCTTCCTCTGCTCTGGGATTGGAGAAGCAGGTATTTTAACTTTTAATTGTACTTAAGAGTCAAGTAAACTAAATGTAACTTCAAGGCTAGTGCTTTACTGGGAAGACAGTGATATGTGCTATCTCAGAGCACATGGAGTGTGAAGGCAGATTAATTTACTGAATCTTCCTTCCAAAATGTCATGTGTGTGTCCCCGGTGACTATAGTAAAATGTTTGCCACCTACTCTCCCTTACCCTGCTATCACTGTAATTACGTTAGCCGTACTGCATGGACTTTACTTCTGGACAGCTGTCCTATGTGTTCCACCTTGGGGGATTGGGAAATGGTTTTCTCCATTCCGTAGTACATTTTCTTCTGCTTGTGGGTGCCCCTATGGGAGTTGATGTGGCAGGTGCTGAGAGCTTGGATCAAATATAGATCATTATGTGGAAAAACTGAAGAGTAATCCTGATCCTTTCTTCTGTGAAAAACATTGTAGCTATGCAGCAAATGGGATTAAAATGGCAAAAAATCATCGTGAGGGGTCAACTTTTATCTCATTAAAGTCCAGCTTTGTTTCTGACACCAGCGGAAAGTCAGTGAGTATTCCCTGGCAGAAAGTGGTGCAAAAAATAAAGCTGCACAGCAGGCCACCAGCCAGGAGCTCCAGGGTCCTAATCCTTACTGACTTGCTGTGACCTTGGGTGAGGCATTTAATTTCTCTCTGCTTCCCTGTCCTGTAACCTAGAGGTAACAATTATGTGTTTCAGAGGATTTGAGTTAAATAGCTGTTAATTTTAAAGCACTTTGAAAATCATAAGCTCTATATACATGTTAAGGTTTAATCCCTCACACCTGAAAAGTATGGCTGGTACTGAAAATGGAGGAGTTCTTACTGGGTGCCAAGGTGAGGAACATGTTGATGAGGTGACCTCGGTCTGAGCGAAACAGGTTTTCAGGCAATAACTCTCAGTGCAGTAATTCAGGAGTAATTCCCAGTTCCTCTGAAGTGGGAGAATGCAAGCTGAGCCCAGTAGCAGAGTGGGTATGGGACTGGGAGAATGGAAGGTTAGGTATGGTGCAAAGGGAATGAGAAATATGCTGTTGGTCCGAGGTAGCCTGAGCTTGGATACGTGGAACAGTGGGAAAGAGGTTGTGTTCAAAGTTGACAGAAGAATAGTTAAGCTGACAAGTTGGACAGAGCGGATGAACAGTGAAAACGGGAATGAGGTGCCATAGCACCATTTTGACCAAAGATGTTCGATAACGTTTGGGCTTTTTTTTCCGGAATGTCTCCTTTGAAATGCAGTGCTGATTGATTGTTTTTTCTCTTCCCTGCTCAAAACAAGCAGCACTTTCTAGGAAGTAAAATTCTGCGTGATTCCAGCCACTTTAAGCAACAGCATAAATCAACCCTAGATTGGGTTCTGCAGCTTGGCAAGCATGTGTCTGTCTGGAGTCTCCCATAGCCAGTGTGGGGTGCCGAGCTAATCACATCACCACGGTGACTGTACACCCCAAAATGCAGTTCCTGTATTGTGGGTGCCTCAGCTGTGGGGCTGGCAGTTCCATTTATAACTGCTACACTGCTCAATTTCAAGGTCATTCAGAGGGGGAGTTGCCCGTAAAATAAATTTTAAAGTAGTGCTTATACTTGCTTTGGTGTTTTGTAGTCAACATACATATGCATTCGGAACTATTTCTCTTCTGGGCTCTCTGTGGCTTTTTAGTATTACATGGCACTGTTTCGGAGAGTGGAGAGAGGAAAATACATAAACACTTCTACGTCCTGAAAAAAAAACAGGTAGGTTAATGGTTATTGATCGATAGTAAATGCTTCGTGGTTTATGGCAGAACAAATCAACAGAGCATGGACTCTTTACAAAACACGTGGGACAGGTTGAGTAAGCTCAGAGCCTGCACTGGTTGTCAAACTGGTGAAGTACAGATAATCAATCCCAGTTAAATATATTTAGTTGTTATCCTTGTATATACATCTTCCATTGCTCAGGATCATGTTGCAGTTGTCATCTGGTGGCGATTAGAAGCACACTGGCATTGCTACCAGAAGTGCTACTTTCCTCTTGGAAAAAGGTGGTTTTCTCAGTGCCATGCAATTTTTACCAGTGTGTAGTAGCATCATTATTTCTTGTAATGTATATAATACGTCAGCACTACCCACTACTTATATAACACTACCCAGTCATGTGCTGACCAGATGACAGTCATGTCATTGCACTAGGTTGGGCATTGCAAAAAAAAAAAAAAAAAAAAAAAGAGGAGTTTTTTGGGGCACTTGCTTTGTCATAAAATTTTGTTATAACAGTAGAAAACTCCTTCAGATTGAATAAAAGTCCAGGACATAACAGAAGGCTTTAAATCCACCCCTTAGGCTCCATCGAAGAACATCTGTGGCCATTTGTAGTAAGTATTTTACATCTTAAATCTGTAGTATGGTTATAGCTTGTGTGAGTACTGCTTCCTCTACTCTGGACACTTGTCCTACTGTATGTTCAAGCGATGCATTCAAACAAGGCCTTGTGCTCTCTTGCCTGGACACCTGGGGTTCACCCCACATGAACCTCTGCCTCTGAAGAAGGAGGAGCTGTGCTCAGCTGGTATTTCTCTGCTGGAAGTGATGTATCACGTCATGGTCCATTCAATTTCCCTGTTGTCCTTCATCTTACGGTGTTAGCTGCATCGACATTAAAAGCTTTGCTCATCTGCCGAGCTCAGTGTGAGTGCAGTTTACAGGGGCAAGATCTTGGCAGTTGGAAACCCTCGGGTTAAGAAGTGGGATGAGCAGTGAGCCGGGGGCTTTCACCTCTGACAAGTGAAATGAGTTCTCCAAGTTCTCAGGGCTGGAGTCACACCAGCAGCCGTTTAAGTTGCAGTGGAAAAACTCCCATCTCTGCTTGCGTTGCACTTTTCCACTGGGGAGCCGGGAGCTGCCTTGATATGTTGGCGCCTCCAGCTGTAGATGACTAAATGAAGCTGTGTGGGCTGCTTGCTGTCCAGCCAGACTGTCCCTGCTATCTCTTCCCATAAACACTGGAGCCTTTGTTTCTGGCCTTATCGTGCCCCTGCCATCACAGAGCCCTTTCTGTGCTCTCCTCCCAGCACAGCCCCTCTGCGTTCAGGGGTCTTTTCTTCAGCTGCTCTTTGTCTCTGGGTGTTTATTGTGCCTGCTGCAGAGTGTGTTTGTTTGGGAGAGAGGAGGAGGGGGTCCTGTTTGTGTGGGGTTTATAAACCTAGTGCATTCTTCAAAAGAGATGCTGAGCAAACTGGGTGGTGGTAAGATTAACCCTTCAGTGCCCTGCATTACTGACAGTGCATCACTGCACCAAGATTTCCTCAGTGTGAAAAATGCTGTGGGAGGGTTATGAAGTTGCTTGCTCTGTAAGGCAGGGAGTCCGCTCCCGCTTTGGTCTTAACTGCCTTTTGATTTTCTGTGAGTGCTGCACATGTGCAAAGAGAGCCTCCCAAACGTGGGGAGATGTAATTGATTCTAGGATTTCCCCCCAGAGTGCTCCTGGAACTTGTTTTTATTGCAAACACTGGCGCACTAGCCCTTTCTGTTTGCATAACTGGCCCTTGCATCCTGTTTATGTGGCTACATTAGACAATATCTCTTCATTGTACCATATCCCAAAACATTATGGCTCTGTACTTTAGGGCTTTTCCTTTTGAGTAAGGTCCTGAAAACAGGAATTTCTTAAATTAATAGTGTTGCCACTTGTAGTGGAATATAATACCTCCCTTTGAACCAGCTTCTTTTCTTTAAACAGCTTGTTAATGCTTTCATGGTTAGGATGGCTCTTACTGTTTCTTCAGTACCCATGGTCCCATATTCCAAGAGAGTGCTTTGGAAGATGAAGATCAGCAACTCAGAAACTTTATTCCCTTGTAATCACATAACGCTTTGCATTAAGTTGGTTGGGGGAAAAAAAACAACCAACCAACCAAACCAACAACCACCAAACAGAACAGCATCAAGTTTCTAATCTCCTTTTGCTCTTCCTCTGTAAGAGGATGGGAATTTATAACACGAAAAATCTCTCGTCCATCTCTGCAAGAAGCTGCAGCAACACAATTGTCTTAGTGTTAGAAGTGCTGGCAGAGTTTTGTATTTCACCGAATCCGCAGTCAGCATGAATTTCACAGACCTTTTTTATGATGATCTGCATAAACTGAGCATAATGCAAATACCTTAGTTTTATGTGTAATAACCATACATTTTTTTTCAAAGATGGTATCTTTTCTTAAGTCACTGAACTTTTCCCCAGAAATTAATAGGTTTAAATTCAGCATTTCACAAAGTGTAGTGTGAAGAATTTTTATTTTAAAATGATTAATATCCTGGTATTGGGGGTTGCAGTTCATGCATTGCAGCATCTACGTATTATATTATTACCCTGGGAAAAAGTTCAGCAGACTGTGTTCCTTTGCGGGGGGTGGGAGAGGAAGAAATGCAAAATAATACGAGCCTTTGAAACATGAATCCACACACTCAGTCATGACTAAACCTATTCAAACACTCAGGTGTTTTTTCCAAGACTGCTCTAGGCTTTAGCATTGTTGTTGTGTGACTTGTTTACTTTATGAACTAACTCAGTTTGCCTCATCTCTTTCTCTTGAAGGAACAGTTTCAGCTGCAAAGCGCACAGGGATTCCAGCACCCCGGGAAATATCATCATCTGTATCCAGAGAGAGAGCTGTATTGCGTGGTCAAGCCAATACCAGGAAAACACAACCCAGCCCCACCTCTTCTGGTACACCGACACCTACCAAACACGTGCGCCCCACTAGCAAGTCCAAGCAAGAGAATGAAACTGGTGACAAGGCTGTTCTGGAATCTCAGGTTAAAGAACTCCTGGCAGAAGCAAAGACAAAAGATTCTGAAATTACCAAACTCCGTTGTGAATTGAAGAAATGCAAAGAGAAAGGGTCACTTAACGCTGAAGGAATGGGTGCTTCCAATCAAAATGTAGAAACAGTATCACCTGTTGACATAGATCCATTAATACGGACCCTTCAGGAAAAAAACAGGACTTTTCAAAAAGAGCTTGCTAGCCTGGGCGAAGAAAATCGTGTTTTGAAAGAGAAATTGCTTTATCTAGAGAACTCTCCTCTCTCAGACACAACAACAAGCAGTGGAGGTGACAGCAGCCTCCCAACCCCAACTACCCAAGAATCCAGTTTTGGAAGCCCATCAAAAAATGTGTCGAGAGGTGAAATGGATGAGCACAGGCAGCATGTGAATGGGGGTGCACTGCGCAATTCAGGTTCTTCCAGCAGTGATGTAACTAAGGCTTCCTTGTCACCCGATGCATCTGATTTTGAACATATAGCAGATGTACCTTCCAGGCCAACATCCTCCAACAGCAACCATTTGAAAGGTTCCAAATGCTCCACTACAGGAAGTTCTCCAAACAATATTAGTGACCTTTCTGTTGCATCTCTTACAGAGAGAATACAAAAAATGGAAGAGAATCACCACAGCACAGCAGAAGAATTACAAGCCACTTTGCAAGAGCTGTCAGATCAACAGCAAATGGTGCAGGAGCTGACAACAGAAAATGAGAAGCTAGTGGAAGAGAAAGCTCTCCTGGAGACTTCCTTTCGTCAGCATAGAGACAGAGCAGAACAGCTGAGCCAAGAAAATGAGAAGCTAATGACTCTCCTCCAAGAGCGATCCAAGAATGAAGAAAGCAGAGCTCAGGAGGGGAAGGTCCTTGAACTGGAACAGAAATGTGCAGAAGTTCTTGAAAAAGCACAATTTGAACGAGAGAAATTGCTTAACATTCAGCAACAGTTAACCAGCAGCCTACGAAGCTTAGAAAGGGAGCATCAAGACGCCCAGCAGGTGATTAAAAGCCTGAGAGAAGAAAATGAGAAGCTGCTTAAACTTCTAGAAGTGGAACAAGAGAGCAACAGCACAGTGACAAAAACTCTGGAGGACTGCAAAATTGCCTTAGAAGGTCTAAAAATTGAGAATGGCTCTCTCAAAACTCAGTTAGAGAGCGAGAAACAAAAGGCTGCAGAAATCAACGTGATGGGATGCACTACTGACAATTCTGAGGTGCAAGAGATGCTGAAAGTAGCCCATGCAGAAAAGGATCAGTTAGAAGCATCTTGTACTGAGCTTAAACAAGAGCTGCTGAAGGCAAACAGTGAACTGAAGCACATTCAGGGTCTGCTAGCTAAGGTAAAGCAGTAACAGCTGTAAATATAATGGTTGTTTATCTGTCCTTCCATAAATAGGTAATTGTTGGTCTTTAGATTGTTATTGAGCTATTGATTATAAGTTTCCAGGATTTAAATTACATTAGTTAGTTTTGAATGGAAGGTGGGATCATATGATATTGTCTCTCTTTCTGCTGCTATCTACATATTTTCCCAGGAATAACTGTTAGCATAGCTGTGTTTATAAATTCAAAGCTAATTTCCCCTAATATCTTCTGCAGAATTTACTATTTTAGTAAATAGAATTGTGTTTATCAACATTGGACCAAAGAACAGGTCAATAAATATTGCTTTGATGTTATGTGAACAAATATTAGTGAAAATCACTTGGTAATCCAGATGAAGAGACGGGCATGAGTAGTTAGAGCAAATATTAAGTTCTGAATAAGTAATCATGATTAATTAGTAGTGAACTATAGGTGTCATTGGTAATGAGAACACAAGGACATGAGCTAATGCTCAGAGAAGCTGGTATTTACAGCAACATGACTAATGATGCATGGTCAAGCTCCAGATGAGATTATTTTCATAAAACTAAAATATTTTTACAAAACTGAGAAGTATTCTGTTTTAGGATAGGTAAAGTTACGGCAAAAAAAGTTGAGTTATTTTAGAACAATTTTACTCTGCTTCATTTGATAGTTTGTAGCTTTGCTGGAAGCAAGCTTAAGTCAGTTACTGTTTCTATTTTCTGTGTGATTCCGGATGTTCGGAAGAGAGCTGCAATGCAAGGCATCGTAGAACAAGTGTTAATAAAGCACAAGCCAGTGACTATGTCCCACCGCTGCAGAAAGAGTGATTGTTTGTGCAGCCTTTCCTGTGTGGGGAAGGGATCATGAGAAGAATGGTGAAATTGGCTAGTTGCGGAGGAAGAGAGCATTGCCAAAAAGCACCTCCATGATTTGAGCGATTTAGAAAATCCAGATGTCCTTTCGGCTTAAATAGGTGACCACAGCAAATGGAGTTACTAGAGGAAGCTCCCAAGTGCTTAGTGGAGCTGCAGTTTATGAAGAATAAATGAAAAACTGCTGAGTGCTCAGACTCTGTACCAAACTTTTATTGCTTGGTTTGGAAACCACAGGTTTCCTCCTTTTTACTCTTCCTTTCCCTCGAATTAAGCTGTTTTGAATCATTGGCTCTTTGTGACACCCAAACAAGACCACAGGCTTCTGTAAGGCTGCCCTTCAGTCAGGCTGTGCCAGTGCTGCTCACTGAATAATTTGTCCATACTCGGAGATCTTCCCCCAAACCTGGAAGCATTGATCTGTGGGCCTGAGCCAACAACCTGAAGTGCAGCAGATTCCCCTTCAGTAATTCCAGATGTCCTATATCCAGAAATACACTTATCTGCAGTAGCTAGCTCCACTACATATGTTTTCACAATCCATTGAAAATGCACATAGTAAAAGCAGCAAGATTGTTAATGTGGATGAACTAATTGTTGTCTTGGCCCTAAGGCAGTGATATCACTCTCATAATGTGACATATAAACAGATGTGGAGCTTTCCAGGAATATAATTCCTCTCTGTTCATTACCTGCAGAGATTGGTTTTGAATTATGGTCATCATATAGAAAATTTAATTTCCTTTATAGCATCTTGTTTTATTATCCTCATTACCAGGAAAGAAAACTGACATTCATAGCTCATGTATGTTTCCTGAAACCGTCTCATTCGCATTGAAACTCAGTTTATACAATGCTGAGAACACAGGTTCAGTTCTTAAGTCTATGAGATGCCTATGCATGCTCTAATGCATGATATCTCTTAAGAAATAAAGACAGACTTGCAGCTTGCTTTCTTCCCTTCCAGGCTGAGACTGAGTGTGGTCAGCTGAAAGAGTTGTGTGACCGGCAGGCTGAGCAACTGAGCAGAACCAGCCAGAAGCTGCAGGAAAAAACATCAGAGAATGAAGCAGATATAAAAAACCTGAAAGAGACCATTTTCGAGTTGGAGGACCAGGTGGAACAACATCGTGCTATAAAACTTCACAATAACCAGCTCATCAGTGACCTAGAAAGTAGGTGGAGCTGAAAAAAGGATTTAAGTGACCTTATTCAGGGGGCTTAGTTATGGCTGCAGTAGGGAGGAGGAGGCATGTCTTGATACGTGTGACAAAAGCCTCACTTTAGAAGTATTCCAATTTTGGCCAATCCTTTCTGTTCGTGCACAGAAGTCACTATCTTAACAGTTAGTGCTACAGCAATAATATTAGAGACAGTCTCCAAGCCTCATGCTTCAGCGAAGGGTGTATTGCCTGTTCTAGAAGCTGGAATTATTGGCCTTTTAAAGAGCTTTTAGGGAAAAGCACTAGTAAGAGCTGTAAAGTCGAAGTTGCTGTCGAGTTGTGGAAGGGGAGCTGCCACCTGGTGGAATGAGTGGCACATTTCGCTTACCAGTGTTACGTCGAGTGTTCCAGGGGTGTGTGTACTAAGTGATCCTGCACATGTGATTCTGTAAATTTAAAAGTCTGGTTTAATGCCTCAAAATAATGACCTATTTCAGAGATGTTTGAGTAACAAGTCTGCTGTTGATTCCATTCCTGATCCATTGACAGAGTGTCTTAATTTCAGTTTAGTCTATTTAGTGTCATTACTAGAAGCAAAACCAAATAGGCTGCTCTGCCTTCCCATTTTCACTTTTCACCTTTGCCTTTGTGTGTTTAATAGTATTTTCCATTTTTTACTGTTCCTAGGTAAAGCAATGAAGCTGGAAGAACAAAAACAAGATACAGAGAGACAGCTGAAAGCTCTGACTAAGCAAATGAAGGTAAGGCTTAGACTCCATAACAAAGCTAAGCTGAGCTTGGATTGCAGTACTGGATTTGAGAGGAGCATTGTATTTTTGTAGAACAATTGTAAAAAGTTCTTTCTATATCCTTTCATTCTCCATCCTCTTCACTTATTTCTAGTTGTTTCTTTGCCCGTGAAGGAAAAATATAATACATCCTTTGCAAATTACTTTTGCTTTTTCTACCTATGAACTTCTGCTACTATGAAACAGCGTTCCTGCTTCATGAATCATCAGTAGCAACGTGCTCTTTTCAGCAGCAGTGCTTGTAGTGGTATCACAAGTCTGAATGATCAATAGCTATAGGAGGAACTTTGATCGTACTTTTTGTATTGGAGGGGAGAGCTTAGCATCAGTTTCCTCTTCGTCAATCTCGTCAGTCCTGTGTAGAGAGGCAAGTATTTAGTTTGACCTCGGCATCATCCTGAAATTGTAGTGAAATCCTGGTCACTTGTGATCACTGAAAGAGAGATCAATAACTTAAGTGGTCAGCTCAAGTAGGTGCATTTTTACATCAAACAGTTTGGGGTTCTAATTGCTCTTTCTAGGAAGATACGGAAGAGTGGAGGCGTTTTCAAGCTGATCTGCAGACTGCAGTGGTTGTAGCCAATGATATTAAGTGTGAAGCTCAGCAGGAGCTCCGTGTGGTAAAGAGGAAGCTTCAGGAGGAAGAGGAGAAGAGTGCCAGACTGCAGAAGGAGCTGGATGAAGTGAAGGGCAGCAACAGGTTGGTTACTTACAAAGGCCAAGATCTGATGTCTGTGACTGCTAACATGCATGCAAACAGTGCTTTGTCAATAACTATTCATTGGCTTGGATGTGCATGTTGTCTGTTTTTAACTCTTCTGACGGATTTTGTTGTCTCTTATTCTAAGATGTGCCTCTTTTTCTTTTTGGCGATCTAGTTCTGTCAACTAGGCCACAAAGGTTTTAATCAGCAAATATTAATAACAATTGCCGATATCCTCTTATAGCTTTGTTCTCAATATGGTGTTCTGCTGTGTTTTATTGCCTTCATAACTCTCTGTGCAGCTGTATTAAACCATCTGTGAAAAGTTTGGCTGGCTACATATATTCAATGGGACATCCAGAAGAGAACTACTTAACCTAAGAGGAGTCAAGGACTGTGTATGTTCCAGTTAAAATGAGGACTAGCTGGACTTCTTTGTTCTGCAAGTCTGATATGTGTTGGCTGAGTGATCGATGCAAGTACTAGGATTCCTCATCTCACATCTCCTATCCTTAATTTGAAACCTGTTATGTGATTAGTTGTTTTAAATGGTCTGGACTGTGGCGTGGGTTAGCATTTAGCCCAGAAGTGACTTTGTTACGCAGGGACCCACCTGTAAAACAAGACCCAGCAGAGCTGCAGTGATGAAAATTTGTACAGTGGGAACAAAGAAAGACAAAATAACGCAAACAGTGGTACTGTTTATCAAAAGCGTGTGCCAGATTAATTTTGCTCCTCTAGATTTTTCCATTTAATCTCTCTCCCAGTAGTTTTGTGGCCACTGGTAGGATAGCCACAGGAACACAGTGAATCCTGTCACTTCTTTCAGGTGGAGTAACAGTCCAGCTTTGTTGCACATATTTGCTCACTGTTTTCCATTCAGGAGTTTCCACAGCAGCTGTACAGTAGATGGAAGTAAAAAGATGGGAGGGCTTTTGTGCAGAGGTGTATGGATCAGAATTCCTGGATTGAAGGAACAGAAGTACTTCTTTTCAGAAAAATAAAGGAATGTTTTTAAGCTCCAGTTTCATTATCAGAGTCCCCAGTGGATGCAAAGAAAAGCTATTACAGACTATGTATTCAGACAAAATGATTACCAGACAGTACTTAAGTTCTGGGCTCTGTTTCCATTCCTAATTTGTTCTTAATGAAATTTCTCTTGTTTAGAGTGGGGTCCATATATAAGGTTAGGAATCATATACTTGTAGTTTCTCCTCGTTATTCTTCTATTTTTTTAATCTGAAGATGTGTTTGATAATAGTTAAATTGAATAAAAGATGACCTGCTAATTTGCAAACTGCGATATTTATCTTCTATGTATAAGGAACATGGCTGTATTGTCAGCTCTTTGGCAGAAGAAGCCTGAGCTGCAAATACTGCTTTTGAAATTAGATCCCCAGAATCCATACATATGTAGTTCCAGAAGGAGGTATTCAGACACGTATTTAATTAAGTCGTTTTTGGCATTTGTCTCTCCTTCTCTTTTCACATACATATAGATATATGTCTGTCTCTGCATCATATTGACTATCTGTATAGCTTGCTTTGAGTATTACGTTGGTCATGGAGCCGGATATACTGTTTGCAGTGGGCAATATTTATTCTCTTTCAAAGACAGGTGTTGAGACCAAATTTTGTATTTGTCAATTTAAGTATAACTGATTTGACTCACAGTGTCCATGCAGAGAATGTAAAATTTCTGTTCTGAGTGGTATGGAGAAGGTAATGATGCCTACGTAAGGCATTGTCTAAACAAAGCAGTGATCAACAGCTAAACACTGAAATTTTAAAACTGTACTGACCTATAAAACAAATCCTTGAAGTCGCCAGAGCTCCTGCTGAGAGCCAGTTCTACACTCCCAGTTATTTTTGCATTCCTGAGGTCGCTATCTTCCCCAGCACCTCAGCTTCTTTCACCCAGAAGGTTCTGGGGATATTATCATTGTTGCTTTTAGCAGCTTTCACAAATGCTACTGCTCAGAATCAGCAGTAGATTTTGGTACCCATGGTGACTTTTAATACACGCTCAGCAGTGGTGGAAACAGTTTTGTAGCATGATACCTTAATGCAGTCTATAAAGTATTCCTCATATTTGCTCATGCCGAGCAGCTGTGCATTGAGCTGAATATCTGACCCTCCCTAGTGAAAGTTTCCTGTCTGATTTTTAAGGTCTGATTGGAAAATGTACCTTCCAAATAGCTTGCTACTCAAAGGTTTTTGGCAAAATCTCAGCCATCTCTTGAGGGTCATTAGACTCCACCTCATAAATTGATCTTGAAGCCAATTTATCTCCTACAACATCCTGCCATTTTAATGTTTGCCTGTGGCTGCCTGAGTTCCTGCCTCCAAGTTTGATTTCACCGTTACATTCTTCTAATGAGACAAAAAGTCATTTTTGGTTCAGGAACAGCCAAAGAACTTGCAGAAAAAATCCTGATGAGGTCATCAGAGTTCATCTGAATGAAGGTAAGAGCCTCCCAAAGGCATCTTTAACACAGATTAAATGTCTAATTCTATGACTAAGAATGTTGGGGGGAGGTTGGACCAGCATCAAACAAATGGAATAAGGAAGAGAGGATTTAACTTATCCCACGTTAGTACAGATTGAAACCTACAAATTGATTAACCCATGTTTCAGACAGTCTTCTATGATATTTTACATCCTAATTAATATTATTTCTCTGCAGTAAACCGCAAAAGCTTACAATCCACTGTTGTGTAACTGTCTCCTCGCAGGTGGTGGAAATCGTAATTATATAGTCTCCATCCTTGGAGGTTTTCAAGACCAGACGTGATAAGACCCTGAGTAACCTGGTCTGACCTCATAGCTGGCCCTGCTTTGAGCAGGATGACTAGGTGACTTTCTGAGGTTCCTTCCAACCTGAATTATTCTATGATCCTGTAGCAAGTTTCATCTTTTCAGAGCACTCACCTTGGAAATAAATTCATTTTTGTAGCTGTTTTAAGATCAAATATTGAAGTGGTGAAGAGAAATACTACATTGGGTTTGTAACACAAAGGAAGGAAGTTATTGCTGAAAGTACCCAAATTATGGACGGCTCTTTTTGGCTTCATTACACACCCATTTCCAAGCCTTTCTGGCAGTACACTGTTTTTAGCAGCAGTGAAAGTTTCAAGGTATTGCTTTGACTCTTTCCCTTCAAGTTTGCAAAATTATTTTGGCACTATAACATTATGTGCCTTGAACCAAGAACACGGAGGGAAGACAGTTGGGCTGGGAGTAGTACTCGGTAAACAGAGAAATTATATCTGTAATTAAATGAGCGACTTCTTAGAATAATAAAAAAAATTAACCAAATCTTCAAACGGAAGCCTAAAGTGAAGATTGTGATGTATCCCACTAATTTGCTTCTGTTCTTCCTCCTAAAGTCTCAAATGCCACAGCATGGCAGTGTTACATGCTTTTTCTCCTGGAAATAAGCTTGTACTCTCTGTGTATTAAACCCTGCTGTCAGTCTGTATGTGCTGATGTGCTGCTCATTTGTGCCTGTGTTTTGCAGCTGTTCTGTCTTATAGAGGCTTGATAGTTCATTTTGCTCTCACTGAAAGTAAGCAAACTAGAATGTCAGAGCAGGGTCCTTGAAGTATTGTTTGTTTGCTGTAGTTAATGACTCCTCAGAGTTGCAGGAGTTGGGGGGGGGGGGTGGTTGGGTTTTGTGCTTTTTTTTGTTTTTGTTTTCAGTTTTTTGTTGTTTTTGTTTGGGGTTTTTTTTCCACTGAATGGAGATTATTCCATCCCCTTTGGTGTAAGGACCCTGAAACAGAAAAGCTGACTGAGGTAGAGCAACTCTAGTTGCCTGGGTGTGTTCATGTACCCGTTTTGAATTGATAGTCCTAAATGATTAGAAGAGAGGAGAGCCAGGAACACTACCATCCCTGTCCTTTGAAATTGGTTCCCTGGCTTTAAATACTTAATTTCTTCCTATCTGAGCAACATCAATATTTTTTCTTTTGTATTGTTGTTTGCTTATCACATCGCAAAGCTGAGTTAGTGGAGTGTTAAGGCACTCCTTCAACTGTCCTAGCAACACCATCAGCACTTTCCCCTCTCCCCTTTATTTAGTGATGATGGGATGATTAACTGTAAAATAGAGTGCTGTACCTCAGGATGGGCATTGTATTGCTTCCTATAACTTCCCTGATTGTTGTCTGTATCTCCATAGGTGCCTGATCTCTACCAGCTAACACAGCCCTGAATGGATGCATAGCCAGGCCTATGAGACACTTCAGGACATACCTTCAACTTGCAGCTGAAAAAGGGAAGTTTCAATTCGAGAGAGCACCTCCAGTTTTTTATTGCTCTGCAAAAGTCAAGTGTATCGCAAAGTGTGAATGCTGCTGGGGTCCACCTCTTCCCCATGGGCAAGAGCCTATTTCTTTGTTTCAGAAGGCTTCTCTCTTCAGAAGACTCCATGAGGCGGAAAAAGTTCTGAATTCGTTTAAAGCCAACTAGGCCATAAGAAGTAATCAGAGATATTTGGGGAACTGAAATAACTGAGGGCTTTTTTGGAGGGATGGGGGTATTTGCCCTGAAACAGAAATTCAAACATGCCATTTTAAGCTTAAGCAAAAAATAAAACTGAGTGTGTATGTCTAACTTGTAAAATTTAATGAGCATACACATTATGAGTTCTCCATATAGTATTATATTCATAGATCTATCTCTGTGTGTCTAAATACATGTATGCCTACAGATCAGTATGTATACATATACACACAAACTTGAGCGGTAGGTTACTGAAATCCAGCAGGAAAACTGAATGGAAATATGAAGTTATTTATTCAGTATCAGCTGCTTTGATGGTTTTGGATTTTTAATATTGTATTGACAAGGCACTCGCCACTGGGTGGCATGTCTGACTTGGTGTCTGTTAGGAAGCAGGGTGGTGCCCAAGGAGCATGTCCTGCTATGACTTTCACAGAGAATGTCCCATGCGAGGTTTGTCCTGCCTGTGAGAATTGCACATGGAGAAATGGGAAGGAAGAGAAATGAATGTATCAAGCCCCTAGTAAACATCCTCTCAGAAAGGAGTCTTTCATGCCCTTAACTCAGGTGAAGTATATGATGATCAGGGAGAACTTGCTGAAGTTCAGCTTTGCAACTGGAGACACCTGGAGAGAGCTTTACTTGGATGCTAAGGAGGAACTCAGAAGTCACCATCTCTACCAGGAGATCATCAGGACTCATTCCAGGACTGGAATTTCATGTCTTGGCTGTGGGATTCCTGTCCTTTCCTCCTGGATGTGAAGACCTAGCAAGGGCCTGGTCTCAGAGCAGGCTGAGCTAGTAGAGAATTCCACACGATGTCCTGGCTTTGGCATGGCCTTCACCTTTGTGCCGTGCTACTGAAGTGTATGCATATATGCACACTTGTGTTGCCTTTCTTTTCTGTGCTGGCAGCTGTTGAATGTTGGTTTTTTTGTTTAAGAAATACATACTGAAGTGCCAAATAAATGTTTAAGTGTCTGGAATTGTCTGCTGCCTGCCCTTGGCCTCTCTTCTGTTCTGTTCATCAATAGCTGTGTGTCTCTTCTTTGTGTTCCTTGGAGTTCAGGAGGATTCACAACAATGACAGGAACTGTGTCAAAGACTGGATTGCAGAGTAATGATTTCTGAAAACATGGTTCTGTGGTCCTAGGCCACCTGTAACGAAGAGGTCATTGGAGCAGTTTAGAAATTTCACAAACACACGAAGGCTGTTGTTGCCAAAATCTATACATTAAGCACAGAAAGACTTGCACCTTGTTGGTGGTCTGTTGTCCACATATTCCAAACCTAGAAAACAAGGAGCCTAACTCTTGCCATTAGAGAAAAGCTTACTGCATCTACTTCTCTCATCGATGAATGAATGAAACCAGGCAGTGGTTTTGTGAAAAGGACTGCACGTTTTAATTCCTTTGTGGCTAAAGTGCTCTGCTTCCTCCTGGAGCTGCTCCACTTAAGCCAGCTGCACTTGCAGCATTTATCTATGTAAACCATTCATTCTCGTTTCAAGGAAAGCATACAGCAGTAGATGACATTTTGTTCAAATCCATCCTTTTTGTAGCAAAGCTTGCTTAGTCGTCTTGGATGGCCTAAGCTATACTAAGCTGAATAAATTCTGTGCACAAGGGGTCATTTTTGGTTTGAAGTTGTGGCTTGTCATTAATCTTTCTAAGTCATGTTCTATACTGTCCTCCTGAATTATCTTGCTACTGCAAGTTAAGCTCCCACTCTTCTGCTTCTCTATTAAGAAACCCATATATGTACACATACATGCATCCCCTTATCATACAGATCTTTCTCTTTAAAAATGGAAGGTACTCACCAAGTTTCATAACTCTCCATTGCTTGTTGCCTGGCATGTGTGGTTTTAGTTGAAGCAAATAGGTCTCGGCACTGTTCTTCCTACCTTTCATGCCAAGGTTTGCAGCATGAGAGGCCTCAGTTTTCTGATGTGATTGTGTATAATCTAGGAGGTTGTTTCAGGGTACGTTTAGAAGCCTATTACAAATATACAGCCTTAAGATTACAGGAAGCATCCTAACAAAATTGGAACCGGTAGTAGCTCCAGCACTTGAATCTTTATAATTACTCTGTACAACGACCAAATAATGGCATGTGATTTCTCAATGGACTTTTCTGTGGCATGGAGTATGGGCTGGTCTAGTTACTCTAACATTATTTAACATGTTTGCATCCTTTTGCAATCAAAGGCTAGACTGAGGAGACTAGTCTGTGGGGTTTGAGCTGTTCTCAGAGTTAAATCCTAACCGATGAAGTGATGGCTGCCTAGAGCATGCCTCTGACTTGCTTTGTTCTCGAGATTGCCAGTTGGCCTACAGGCATTTACTGTTCCTTTCTTACGCTGATAATACTCCACAAACCTGGTGTATGCCCTTGTTACTCGGATAACTAGACAGAACTCTTGCATAGTGGCCTATTTAATTCTTGAAAGTGTAATGGATTGCATTGGGTGGCTTCGTATCTTAAGGCAGAAATCTATCCTTCATCCATACTTTACTAGAAGCAAGACTCGTTTAGCTTTTGTGGTTTTGTATAACTAAAGTGCAGATGCTATCACCTGTTGATTTGGTTTTTATGCTTTATGAAGCCACAGAAATAAAAGTGAAGGGTAGAACTTAAAGTTAGCAAAACACTGGCTCCCTCAGAGCTCGGTGAATCTTGCCCAATCTGCCTTTCCTCCTTATTGGATTAAATGGAGAATGGAACTGAAATGGCTTTTTCTCTAGCCATCTGCCTCTGCAGGCTCCCCTGGCATACAAGGAGCTTGAATGAATTAGCAAAGAAATAGCCAATGTGTGCTTAAAGACAGCACCTCCTTAACTCTGCCAAAAATAGAAACATGAGTCACTCTTATTCTCTTATTCATTGACACCCTTTAGCCCCTTGTATTTTGTAGACTGTGATGCCAAAAGGGAAAGGAAAAAGACTCTGACTCCTATTTTTAGCTCGGCAGAAGTTGTTCAACCCTATAGGCACTTTCTGGATGGAGCTCTCCAGCCTTCTTATGAAATAATTCCTGCTTTTGTATTCATGTAGCTCTTGGTGCCTGCCATACTAAAAAGTAGGGAAAAGTGATGATACCTCAGAACCTGCAGATTAGCACACGTTTCTTAAGTAGCTAGGAGATCAGGAAAGTAATGTATAAATACTCTCTTTTTATGTGACTAGACTTTGCTATGTAATTGTAGGTTTCCTAAACTAAAGCTAGGTAATTACACTCAAACTCTACCTGAGAGCTACTGGGTAAGTACAGTGTCAGTGCTAAGCAATGTCAGCCAGATCCATAAAATGCATGACTAGAAGCAACAGTTACACTGTATGATTACATTTGCTGTTTTAACGCAGCTGTGGACTTCCCTGTACTAACTCCTGTAAGTCCAACACCTAATCTTGACTTAAAAATTTCTTTTCAGTGGAGTAATTTGATGATCTTTTCTGTTAAAACATGAGCCTTATTTCTATTTTGAGTTTGTCTATCTACATTCCAGCCATTCAGCCATTGAATTTTGGTATTCTTGTGTCTGCTTGGATGAAGCACTTAACAGTTTTATTCCCTATATAACTGCTCATGGATTGTGATTGAGGGTTTACTTGTTCAGCAGGTGTCCCTGCTGATAAGCTGTAAGAGTTGAGTTTCCAAAGTTTTTCGTTATGAGGTATATTTTCTGGTTTAATTTTTGTGGCTCTTATCTGAACGCTGTCCAATTACTTATTTTATTTTCAGTTATGGCATTTTGACTGGTAACAATTACTCCAGCAGTGGTCACACCAATTAAAAACATAGAGTGTAAATTAACATCTTTCTCTTTTGGTTACTTTCCTCATTATACACTGAGGACCACAGTAACCCCTTGGCCCCTGTGCTGTATTGAAAGCCCATCTTCAGGTAGCTATTGATGATTACTCACAAGTCTCATCAAACTGCCTTTTTCTATGATAATCCTTCATCCTGTGTGAGGATGGGGAATGGAAATGGTATGGTTAACAGTGCAGAAAAGTTTGTTAGACTCAATGATTTAATGTTTGCCAGGCACTCCAGGAAAAGAACATGAACATTCTAATGAGTGGTCCATGTTCTGGGCATTACGATAAAAGATGTACATTGTTAGATTTGCCTTACTACATATAAAGACCTCTAATTTCTGCTTGCGCTTCCTGTTGCCCCTGAGTTTGATCTGATTTCTGCTTTGCAGGCTGACAGCTGAAGAGGTAGAATCTCTAGAGACAGATACAACCAACCGCTGGCAAGGAGTCTGCATTAGCAGAGCATCTCCCACACCATCAGAATCTGCTGCCACTGTGAAGTCACTGATAAAATCATTTGATTTAGGATGCTCAGGTATTTGAACACTGTATTTTGTAGTAAAAAATTTTTCTAGCAGTGAACATGTAATTTTTGCCTTCTTGCTTCTTAATGGATATTCTCTGTCTGTGCTTGTTACATAAATAGTATCTGTGTCAACTATACCAGTGGTTCCCTGTTCTGACAAGAGGGAGCTAGTTGAGTTGGAAATTCAAATGTTTCCACGTTTTTCCTTGCAGGTAGCACTGGACAAAATATCACAGTTCACAAGGTCCCCAGGAGCCCTCTAAGTGGAATTCCAGTGAGGACAGCCCCAGCTGCTGCTGTTTCCCCCATGCAGGTACAAGGAGCTCTTTCCATCCTTGTAGTTTTAACATGGGTAGATGCAGTGTTTGCTACAGCATGACATAGCTTCAGCATGCCAACATGCATATGTTGACAAGGGGAAGGGGAAACTCATCTGTTTATTTGCTGTGAAACATCAAATACTGTAGTACTAACAAAAAGGATCAAAGTGAGTTTGTCTTTGACTTCAGCTTAGAGGTCTCAGTGGACGGATGTGAACTCTTTGGAATACAATTCTGAACTTTAATCACTGTTGACCAGAAAATAGGTTTCAATTATTGGGAGTGAGTTACAAGAAACATCAAACTAAACTAGGTAGCTGGCATGTGAGTTCAGAGACACGGGATAATAAGGTTCTAAGTTGTATGCTCCCAGTTATCCAGTAAGTTCATACAGTGCTGAATGAAGGGCTCTTAGACTTTAGGTTTTTTTCCTCCTGAAGCATAATTGTTCTGGAATATAGTACTACTTATGTCACTGCACCAGTTAATTAACTTTCTGTTAGCAATTTTCAAATCTGTGGTGCAATGTTATTGGAAATACTGCTTTTGTGAATGATGGAGAAGCAAATGCACTGTGCTTCCTGATTTCCACATATGCTGAAGGTGGCATACCGTCAGTCTGCTAACCTTTCTAGGCTAGAGAAGCCATTGTATGTTTTTTGACTGGGTGGTCACTGGACTTAAAACGGGACATTCTTCTCTGAATCTGAGTTAAAAACAGTTGCAAGGTTAGGGTGTTTAGGTGAGTGTTCTGAAGAATCAGATGACTTTGAAAGACTACTTAACAAACATGTGAGCACATTTCCTTCAAAGAATCAGCAAAGGAAGTTTAAGGAATGGGATTAGACAGAGGTCTGGGAACCTTCTATTAATGCCTGGCTGAGGGGGTATTAATGCTGAATACTGGTGCTCAGGCTGCAGAAACAAGAATCCTGACTTATCGTTCAGGGTGCTGGGAACAGAGGCAGGGTTAGGAACAGGCATTCTTACTTTGGGTTTGTGACACTAGATTATGTTTGGCAAGAGAAAAAAATGGTGCAAATAGAAATGTGAAATAGTTCAGGAACCAATGTGTTACTAGCTAAAAACATTGTCCCTTTGTCTTTTTATTTTTCACAACCATTTATCCAGCTCTAGGTACAGCTGATACCTTGTTGAAAGGTTTCTGTATCTGCTTTGTGATCTTGAGATAGCAGAAACAACGCTTCTTTCTGCTTGCCTATATAAGCATGATGGCTAGTATTTTTTTTAATTCTCTTTTGTACATTTGTTTGTTTCACAGAGGCATTCTGTTTATAATAATGCCAAGCCAGCCAGCAAGGGCATTGCCAGACACGCAGATCTTTCAGACCTTCCTCTTGCAGGTAAGTTGCAGTAAATGTAAAAATGTTGCCTCTTTTTACTAACAAAAGCTTGTTTTTAACTGTTGGCCTCTGCCTGGGCCATTTTTCTTCTTCTCATATGGTCAAAGGAAACATGAAAAAGTGTCTTCAGAGTCTTTATTTTAGAGAGCTTATTAATTATGTTGTGTTTCCATTCCCATCTTGATCATAGCCTTAGAAAACTAAAAAATAGCTGATTTATTATGGTTTGCCAACACAAGCTTGCCTTCTTTATTCCGAAGTATCCATGGCACCTCTCTAATCCATGCTGTGGAACTGGAGAGGATTGGATTTTGTTCAACATGTATGTATCTGGAAAAAGTCCAAAGCACTGTCTTTTCAGGGTTTATTTGTTTTTAAATTGAGCTTCATTTGAAATACATCAAACATTTCAGATACCGATGTGGCTGTTTTAGGAGCAGTCATATTTGGGCTCGAAATAGTTTGTTTTGAGAGCTCTCAAGAGATGCGTTTGTTTTTATTTCACACTTTGCTTTTGTTCTCTTGTCATTTAATATTCTTTTCTACTAGTGTTTGTTTCCCATTTTCTCTGGGCCTATTTTTCTGATTATCTAGTCCTGAACGTAGTTGTCCCATTGGAATCAAAGCTAGTAACAACAGATTATTGAATTTTTAAGGACAGATGAAATATTATATTCCTGTAGTGAAACCTCAGTGAAACTGCAGGGAGGGACAAAAAAAAAATCAGTCACAACTTCTTCATTGGTAGATTGGATTTTCTGCAATAGTTTGCTAGTACAGGAGAGAAATTAGAACCTGTCTTCATTTTTAGACTCTTCAGATAATCTGCTAAGCTTCCCCTTCCATCATTCAAAAATGAAGACATACTGGATCTGAACAGCAAAACAGGTTATAGGGTAGATGGCAGCATAAACAAATAACATCTTGTCTATGGTACTGGCTTCTCCTGCAGGAGTAAATGGTAAGCAAGCAGAAATTATCAGTGGAACAGACAGAGTTTATTTGTATCAGTTGGTTTCCAGAAAATGTCTTGCATGAGAGTATACAATGATCCTAAACAGAACATAAGACCTTTTTAATCTCTACCAGTTTACTGTAGAGTGAAGTCATCTGTCAACTGTGTAATATAATGCCAGTCCTTAATAATAAATATCCCACTTCAGGCCATGGATAATTACTGTTATTACCCATAGACAATTGTTCTGTGAAAATGTGTTGAAATCAACAGATATTTTATTAGCCATTGTGTGGTAAAAATTTATGGTTCCTTATCTAACAAGTTCCTGTATTTATAGCTTCTCTTTGTACCTGGGTTTAATTTAGTTCCAATAATCCATAGCAAAGGCTTACTCACTGTAAAGTTGTAATAGCTCTGGTTCCAATCTAAATAATCCTAGAAGGCAGTTGATCCAAGCCCTATGCAAACAGCGCTGAATTAAAAAATATCCCCAAGGAAATTCAGAGTGAAGTAGTCTTCATAATAATAATCTTCTGGCTGATTCCATCTGACCGGTATCACAGCAGGGTTCTGTGATGTCCTTAATATGACCCAAATGTTACATCGTTGGAGAGGAGAATGGATTACTTTGCAGAGAGAGCTGATCTTTGGCTATGATCTTTTCATTTAGAATCAGAGGTTTACCGGTTCTGTCCTGGAGTTTCTAGCAGCCAGAAATAAGTCAAAGGAAGTATATTACTCATGCAAGTGAGACTCAAAGTACAAAACTGGATGCTGTTAACTTGCACCACTTCAGGCACTACTGTATAATTCAAGCCGGTAACCACAAGGTTTCTTTAAATAGTGCAAATAGATAGCGCTAACATAATGTGATTTTCCTTAATCGCGTTGCATATTTTTCATACGATTATTATCCTGTTTGTCTTTCCAAATGACTCCTAATATGCCCTCGTCTTCTCCCTCTTTTCTGTCCACCTAGATGCTTCCTTTATAGGCTTCCTAATAGCCTTTATACCTATCTGGGATCATTCCTTCTTCCTTTTTTCTGTGCCCTGCATGAATGCATCCTGAATGATTGGCACAGCACTTCCTAATTAGACCATGCCATTAGCCAGTCCAATTATGTTAATGACAATTTGACAGTGCGCTTTTTTTTTTGCCATCCTTATAAATTAGTGAGAAACCTACATTCCTCTTCATAATGTTTCAGATATGCTTTTTGCAGTAGATCTGTTTCTCTAAGTGGAATGTTCTTAAATTTAAAATGGTCCCAAGAATCATTCATTGGTTGCCTGTCTGATTGGTGTGGCTATTTAAATTTGAGGGAATTTCCCATAAATCCAACTTTATGAGGAGCTGGAAGAGTCATACATGTTTGGAATATATAGTGGAAAACCAACAAAAAGACTTAATTTTTAAGAGTATGCTGTGTGCTATTTCTTGTAATGGCTTCAAGGTGCATGCAAAGAAGGGACAGGTGAGTCGAAGGAAGGATGACCCTGACGGAGCAAGGTGTATGCAATGCAATGCAACAAAGCTCTGCCAACAGCCAAGCTGCTGGAAAGGAGAGAGTCTCCTGGGACTGGATTCTGTCCTTTTCCATCTGGACTTCTTAATAGATAGGAACTTAGCAGCCCTTTATGCTGTGGAAAGAAGGTGCAGAAATGCCCATAGCTCTCAGCAGCTACGAATGCTGGTGTAGTTGTACGATATTCAGGAGCCAAAGCGAGGGCAGCTGCATGCCTGTTGGAAGGATGTGCTTATCTGGCAACTGCTGATGCACACACCCCAGCTACTGCTGAAAAGAAATTTAGGACTGATTCAGTGATACTAGCCTTTGCTGAAGCTGAGATCCTCTAGGTGATTCAGCATTAGTTGCTAATTAACATAGGGAGGTAACTGAAAAGGAGGAGAAAAAGTTGTGTTCCACATTCGGTTCATTTTTGATAATAGCTCATAGCGTGCTGGCTGTAGATCCTGGCTTGTTGACAGTTTGTCTACATAAATGAAGCGGTCAGCTTTCCCTGTGTTGTACATTGCTCTACCTCATGATTGATATGCATGGGGAGATAATTTGATTTCTGTGATCTCTCTGGCTTCTCTCCAAAAACCTATCAACATTGGATACTATGGCTACTAATTTTGTTGATTTTATTTTATTCATATATATATACACACATATCTATAAATATATCCCATAAAATATATGTTATAAAAATAAGTAATAAGTGTAATAAAAATATAGATGCATCTGCTACGAATATCTTGAGACTTCTCAAAGTTGTCAGATAGGATGCCAAGCATCATGTGATAATAAGTGCGTTTTACTGCTGCCTTGAGCTGGGTTGTATTCAGGAGACAAGAGGCTTTCTTGTTACAAGTCTGCTAATGGCAGAAAAGAAATTATTGTGCTAGGGCTGGTCAGTCATCTGGTGAAGATATCTGGCGATCAGCTTTTGAACCTTTAAGACTGTAGATTTTGGTATTTCCCCTCATTCACCTGAGGCCCCTACCCCCCAGCAGGAGTATCAATCACAGGAAACCAGGCAGTCTGTACTGTTGAAATCATCAAAGCCGTTCCTTGTTATGATCACCTCTAATCTGCTCAAGGTTTCCTAGCCCCATGTGTGTTTAATGAACAAATGAGTACATTTGTTTAGAATCAAAACAACAGACTACATATTGTGTGCTGGGTGGCAGGACAGTGATTAATCAAATTCCTCAGACTGCAAACTGACAGCTTTTTTTTAATTCCCACAGACCTTCTGAAGGGGAGAAATGAAGAGCTGAAACCAGACCATTACCTCCGTAAAAGCCCCTCCCTGGAATCCCTGAGCAAACCCCCTATGGCCTTCAGCAGCAGAATGCTTACCTCTACCCCTAGCAGCTTGAAACCCCAAAGCAAACTCAGGTACCAACTCAGTTTCCTGGGAAAAACGGCACACTGGAAAGATTGTCAGCATTACCTGGCATGAAGATGAATGTTTTAATCTGGTGGACCCCTGTCTCCAGTGGAAACTCTGCTGGCTGGTCTGTCCAGTTCAGAATTACCAGGCTGTGTCAGATCCAGATATCAAAATTCAGATTATAATGACCACAATTATCTGTAAGATAAGCAATCATGACAAAATTAGGATAGCAAGGTTTTAGGAGCCGCTAAGTTGTATATAAGAATTTCATTATGTGTACGAGTGATGAACCCTCATTATCCTATTGTAGCTTTGCATGTTGTGGTGAGTCAAAAACTAAAAGCTTTGAGGTCTAAGGGGAAGCTGGACACATAATTTTCTTCTGTCTTGAAAAAAAACATGTATTTTCCTCTGATCTCCACCATTATTTCCAACAGTAGAAGCTGTAGGGCGGAGACAGTGTGGGTGTTTTTATTGTTGGCCTTTTAGCTGTCCTCAAGGCCGTGACTGCAATACAGCTTTGAGATTTTTCATTTTATTCAAGAACTCTTTCTGCAGCAGCTCAATTGGATGTGAATTTGCTGTTACAGATTCTTTAGATAGTTTCTTTCAGTTCTACACCCTAAATCCTGGTTCTCAATATGTAAAGCAAAGATGTTACTTGAAAATTTTAAGTAAAGCTGATGAAAATAATAGCAGAAATGCTAGGTTAACACATGCAATCGAGTATCCATAGGCTGCTATTTTTTCGGCTCTTTGTATGCAGTGATACAAACTGAATTTGTCTCATATAAAGGCAAATATAGAATGCAAGCTCTGAAACCTATTACAGTTTGGTTTACATTTAGGTTCTGTGCTGCCATTCTGCTTTGTCATACAGATATTATTTACACACTGGTAAAAAATAAGAGACTTAAAGCATATTTATCTTCTACTCCGTTATGCTTCCCCCCAAATTAGTGTGGAGAGGAAGGACCCACTGGCAGCCCTGGCTCGGGAGTATGGTGGTTCAAAGAGGAATGCTCTGTTGAAATGGTGCCAAAAGAAGACTGAAGGTTACCAGGTAAGGGAATAGGTACATTTTTACTTTTCTCTGGAGAGTAATTCATCACTTTCCTATATGTGTGCAGTAAGCAATGTCACTTGAAAGAAACATATGTATTTCAGTCTGCTGATTTTTGCATGTTTATGCCTACTGGGTGTTTCCATCCTCTTCCTTCATTTCTTTAACACTGCAGTCCCCAATGTTACATTGTCATCAGTAATTTGTATACAAACCCCAAAATATTTACTGCATCAAAGGTCACTGATGGTGAGAAACAGAGTGTATATGCGCAGCAGCTTCAATTTGGCATCAATTTTTGAAATTACATTCTAATATTTTTTCTGTAGGCTTCTGTGAATGATGTGCTGTTGTGAGAGTTTTTTCATTGGTCATTTCTGTAAAACCAAAGAAATATTTCTTTGTGTGGCCTTGACCAAATGAAGTTTGCGGTTCGGGGCCCCACTCTTTCTAACCTGCTGCAGCTTAACGGGATTTTACAAAGCAAGTTTTGACTGCTTGAGAATGTCTCATTTCTTTGCAGAGTGATTTTTCACTGTTAAACAGGCATAATGATTTGTCCAGTTCTTGTATGCCATTGCTGTGCTTATATCAAGCTCTGGCTAGTATTTGTATGCAGCTGAGTTAGGCCTTTGGTTCTGCTTGTAACTGAGCTGTAGAAGGCAACTATAGACAACAGTTCATCCTGTGATATATGCTGGGTGTGCAGGATAGTCTTGGTTTGATATAATGTTGAGATTTTTCTTTCTTAAGAATAATATTGTTTGTTACTTAGAGCAGAAGACAAAAGCAGTTATCACCACATGAGATGCACCCTGGAGCAAGTCCTTAATAAAAGCAGAGTCCATCTTTTAAAGTAAATAATAATTTTTTTTTTCCTTCACAACCAGCTCTTTATGAAGCATTAGCTGCAGGGTGCAGGAGTTCAGAAGAAAAGACAGTAGCTTTCCCTTTGAGTAAACTGATCTATAAAAGTTTGAGTAATTTCTTAGCACTGGCATATTCATCTGGCTTTCACCAATTTCACAGAAGGACGGGTATCAGAGAAAGCTCTTGACTTTAGACACACCTTAGAAAGAATAAAGCCAGGGTTAGCATTTAGCCTCCAGTTCTGTGATACTGCCTGAAAGGCTACAGTACTGTCCCCAGAAATTATATGCTCTATGCTGTGTTGATTTATTTTATATGTCATCTACTAAAATTCTCCCGGTCTTGGATTTGAAGCTGGGGGGGAACATTCCCATCCAGTCCTCAGAAAATGATTCATGAAATACAACTTTTCCAAGTCTAACTTCTGTTTAGCCGGCAAACCTATCTCTCAGGTAACACTTTCTCCTGACAGTGTTGCCCTTTTTTGTTTCAAATGGCACATATGGTAAGCTTCCTCCACTTCTCTTAAAACAGTCTAACTCTGATGAGTTCACTGTTAGAAGTGTTCTCTGAGAGTCAGCCTGTATTTTTCTTTCTCTCATTACACCCAAGCTGGACTAAATGTATTGCTTTTAGAAATTATTATGTGGCTTTGCAAATATAGAGGCCTGTCCTCATTCTGTAGGTACCAGACTGGCACCAAAAGTGATAAGTATTCCCCTCATGATAGAATAGAAAATGAGTTTTGTTTTTCTATGCTGAACCCAAGTAGCGGAGCTAACTGTGTATCAGATAGCAGGCCACCCAGGAGACATGCAAGGCAATCTGGGTCTATTTGTTTTTCCTTTTAGTATTAGTCTCTGGAGGAAAGTATGTCCATGCTTCAGAGGACAGTGGAAGTCTTTGCGCTATCTGTGGCTGCTGGAGTGTTGTTGCTATGTGACTCTCCAGATGATGTTTCAGAAAAAACTTTGTCATTTTGGTTCCTGGTCTGATGAGGCTCTTGTTCTGTTCATGGCTGTCCTCTGTCATTACTCTTTCTAAAGCAGCAGAATGAGTTTTCAGCAGTTTTTGAGAACAAGCAGGTAAAGCACTGACAAACGCTGCATAATCCAGGAGAGTCTGAGAAGTTCAGACTGTGATGTGGTGGGGGGCCTTATTACCCAGAGTATAAGATCTCAGGGCAGAAATTAAAGTCAGATGAACTGAAGGACAAACACAGTATTGATTTATGGTGAGAGTCTTGCCTCTCTATCTTCACTGCTTCGTTTAGAGGCATTATCTCTTGGACAGTCTTCCTCAGATTCTCATTCCCATTGTGCTCTTTGCAGTGCGTTCACTAACTCTTCTTGAACTTGCTTTTCCCAGACCCTTGCACTCTTACGATAAGGCTGATATTAAGCTCCACAGGGAGTTTTTATCATTCTTGAGTACAAAGAACTGGAGTGGAATAAAGTCAGTCATCCTCCTTCCTGCCTTAGCCACTGCAGTGGTGGAAATGAGGTAATGAACTCCACCGAGCAGAACCCTGATGACGTGCATGGCTTCTTTTCCATAGATAATACCCCTGTCTATGAGACATCTTCTGTGCAAATCCCAGTATAATCTGTCATGTTTTTTCTAACATGAATTCCAGAACCACAGATAACTTTGGATGCAAACTGTTTTCAGCTCTGTGACACAGTGGAATGAGAGAATAAAAGACTTGCTGATTGACTGCTTAACTTCTTTTTTTCAGTGGCAAAACTTACTGCCTTTGAGGTCTAGTAACAGTTCCTGTTACTAGCTGGTGAGGAAGAGGGAGATTCCTTTCTGTTTAAATTATGAAGATACCAGATTTCATTAAACAGTATGAGCAAAATGGATTAGAATAACTGATGCTCTCAGTAGCAGCTACTACCCATGTTCCAGCTTCCCTGATTCCTCAGGATTAGTGACCCAGGGAAGGTATCTGGGGATAAGACTTAGGGACCAGCACACAAGGCTGCACTTTTTAAATGCTTTAATCCATACAAGGCTTATACTATAGATAGAAATTTGCACCCTGCTCCTGGCATATATCCTTGCATTGATTACAGTGGGAACATTCCCTGGCTTTGAACTTCAGCATGTTCCCCAGGAGGCAATCTTATAAAACAAGAGAAGAACACCAGAGGGAGTTGAGAGAAGTGCAACACAAATTAGTAGTGGCCTGGAGGGTTTTGTTTGTTTTTTAAAAAAAGAAATTGCCTGAGTTTACAGTAACTGAGGGGAAACATGAAAGCGTCTATGTTTCTCTAATCTGCTCTGCCATTTCTAAGATCCCTGTTTTAACAGTGATTTGATATCAAAAAGTTAGGAATGCTAAGGAGAAAGAGTAATTATTTAGAACATGAAAACAGAATCACTAGAATGAAAATAAAGAGGAAGCTTAGTTCAGTGACTAAGAGAAAAGAATATGAAAGTGGGATTGCATAAACTGTGGCATGATCGATCATATGATTTCAATTGTCATATTTCAATGCCTAGATGAATGTTATCTGGCATTTCAGCCATCAATTTTGAATAATTATGCAGGGGAGGTGCTAAAAAAAATTCACCAGTAAAAAAAATTGTGGTGAAATAAGGCTTTGGACTCAGTGGTTTTGTGCAGAACTTCATTGAGGAAAATCTCCAGCTTAAAAAAAACACCCTTAATCTAATGTATGGTTCCCTATAAGAATTGTGCACTGGCATGTGATCTCTTTTGCCAGATGTACATAGACTGTTCCTTCTGCCTCTCTGAATTTGTTGACATCATGGTGTGTAATGTAGGGTGATGGGATGACCAGACTTGAGAACTGCTTTTGTGGCTCTGGAACTCAATTACCACACAAGTCCTTTAAACCACAAAGCCTGCTGAGAGTAAGTTATTTATGTTAAAATAGCTTTTTCTCTGTCATCTTGTGGGTTGGTTTTTTTCATCTATTTAAAAAGATTATAGATCATAGCAAGAGTGTGAAGTAGAAATTGGGTGCCTCGTTTCTAATAGGCTCCGTTCCTAGGAGTTTGTAACTCCTGGAAGCTGCTGAGAGTCATTCTTGTTGCATTATCACCTTCCATAATCATATCATTAGTGACTGTGGTGTTATTAAGTGCCCTGGTTCTGTTTGCTGTCTGTGGAGACCATTTGTCAAGGGGCCAAACCTCTCTAGATTAAGTCTATTACTATCCACAGATGTATTGTGAAAACACAGAACATCAAGAGGCACTTAACCCATGATCATTAGAACTGAGGATTATTGTTTCTGCCACATATACCCTCTCCAGAGAGGGGAGGGAATTGCTACCGTGTTAATGAATATGGTTCATTTAAAAGAACTATTTTCATGTTTTTTCCAACCACTACACATCCATCCTGTGGCACAGAGGAGAAGAGAATCTGAGACTGACTCTTTTCTCTAATGTACAATCATGATTATTCTTTTTATCAAAGTTATATTTGGTTTAACAGGACCCATTTGGGATCCACTTGTTGAAGAACCACCATCTCTTTTAGTAAAGCTACCTCTGCGGTCGTCTTAAGTAGAGGAATGCTATACAGAAGGAGACAAGGAGTGTTCTAGAACTGACAAAGGGAAGTGGCAGCTATGCCTCTGAAGATTTTTATATTTCATATATTCCCAACCTGTGCGTTCAAGCCATTGCATTATATCACCTCCCTGACTATGACAGTGTCATTACACCAGCTTATGGATAAAGGCAGTGGGCATCTTCAGGAAAAGAAGTAGTGCTCCATATTAGCACTGACACCAATATGAGATGGCTGATAAATTGGTATTGGTCTTACTGATTTGCGGGACCAGCCTCAGATCTCATTTCATACCATCTGGAGGAATCTCAACAGCATGGAGAAACTACTAACCAGAGCAATCTTTACATAGCTTTCATGTTGTACAGGTAGTGGAGAAAAGAATTCCTTTTAATTTTTCTGCATAAAATACGCTAGCAACTATGAGCAAAGCTGGAAGAAAATTATTTATTTGTTTCCATGCCTTACTCAGAGTTATTTGACTTTGCAATAGGTCCCAGGAACACTGTGCAGTTTTAGAAGGTATGCTTAGGAGTATGTAGGAACTATTTTTAGGGTGATACTCTCTGACATTGTATTG